TAACTGAACTTAATTTTGCTGACTTTGCAATTTAATGACGTTTCTCGTCGTGTCGACGACGTGAGAACCAGTGTTTTGGCGTTGTGACTGCGACGTGAGAACATCATCACTAAAGATTAAAGTTATATAAAAGGTATTTATGAAAATTTACGTTCGTTAAGATTATAAAAGGTATCTGTGCACATTTGCGTTATTTTAGATTGCAGAATGACGGTAACATTTTGAAAGAGTACTTGTTAAACTTGGTATTAAATTAATAGTTTGTCGCCATATTGATATTTGCATAATTTGTTTTGAATATAAATAAAATGCCTCAGCAAATATGCAAATTTTGCTAATTTAAACTCAAAATAGTTTTGTTGTATGTATTTATATAAATCTACAAATGATTGTGTTATGTTCTAGAAACATGGGGGCTGCAAATCTAATAAAAAACTTAAAATTATAAACTTATATTTTTAAAATTCTATTTTTTCATGTATCTTTCACTGACCAGTGCACATAAAAATTACATTTTATCATCTTTTAAAATTTGGCTAAAGACCCATTAAATATTTGGTTGATATAAAGCCTTTCCTATCTGTGACATTACTTTTTAAAACCAATATAAATTGATAGTTTTTTGTTGTTATCAGATGGAGTGGACAATGGAACATAACATAATTTATTGTCGAGATATTCTGTTGGTAAATCCATTCCAAAGCAAGAAGGGATCAGTGGAACGAGGTAGCCTATGGACACAGATTGCTGACAACATGAATTCTTTGGTGAGCCCTAAGTTTATTGTGACACAAAGATCAGTTCGAGAGCACTTGGCAGTCTTGCAGAAAAAGTACCAAAAGAAAATGAGACAGGAAGAGGAGGCAAGTGGTATCTCTCCAGAGAAAACAGAGCTTGATATCCTACTTGAGGAGATTTATGTAGCTGAGCAGATTGGTGAAGAAGAGCAAGAAGAAGCAAGCCGAATGAATCAAGAAAAAACTGACCAGGAACAAGCAAGAGCAGATGATGTGAGACGGACTGCAATGGAAACATTCGCAGAAACTCAAAAACGAAATGGCGATGAAAAGGAGAAAAAAACGAAAAGGAAACGAAGAAGTGGAGGAGAGATGGTGGATTATTTGAAGGAAAAATTCGAGAGTGAGCAAAAGGTGCGAAAAGAGGAAATGGAAGTCAAATACAAAATGTTAGAATTGGAGGAGAAGAAACACACTGCAAACGTGGCGATGCAGAAGGATGCCAGCAAGCAACAAATGGAGATGCTACATGCAATGCAGGACCAGAACATCCAACAGCAGAAACAGCAGCAGCAGCAGTTTCAACAACACATGCAACAAACTGCAAACTTGCAAATGATGCTCATGCAAAACCAGCAGGAGCAGCAACGGGCAATGCTAGAATTTTTTAGTAAACTAACTAACAAGAACTGAACATTAGAAAACAATTTGCCAAAAAAACTTTCTAGATTCATATTTGATCTTTTTATGTGACTATATGCAGGTATAGTGCCTGTTATGTACACTGTGTTTATTGCTTGAACATCATAGACATACAAGATGGGGAGGGGGGGGGAGGGGGGGAAGTTGTCCCCCATGTTGTTGGGCAGACAAGGCCTTGCATGTTGAGTTGTTGATATTTTTATCCACTTTGTCTTTGTGAAACAATGCATCATTTCATAAAAGTAACAATGTAACATGTTTAATATATCTTTACATACCTCAAAAAGTAGTCATTATATATAGTATAAATTGTTTACATCATGCAAAATTCAAATGTGAGCCATAATGTGAGTAATATACACCACTTATTATTTTCCAGTGGCAGACACAAATGGGGGTGCAAATTTACACTGCTAAAGCAATTATTCGGGCTTCAAGAAATTATTGCCCTCTTAGTTTCTGCCACTGAAACAACAAGACTATAATAACACATGGGATATAAAATCATGCAAAATACTCATTTAGAGCAGGTGGGTCTAATTCAAAATACATGGATGTAGTGTTTTTGTATAGACATGTTAAGGCATTCCTTAACAGAGCCCCAACTATATACATTTTGCCGACTTGGCTGAGTCTAATTTTCAAATTCTTTTTAAAGTCTAAAAATTTGAAATAATTTACAATATCACCGAATAGCCATTCCACTGACACCCGTACTTGACTCATGGAACGGTTGAAATCTTGCATTTCCTCGGTAATGCCTTCTCGACGAAAGGGTGCTTGAAGGTGCATCCGAAGTGGGTAGGCCGGGTCACCATAAATGCACATTGGTTCGCCTTGTCTGGAGAATGCAAATTGCCTCATGTTGTTGTACAGGCCAGACTCGCCAAGCATCCGTGCATCATGCATCTTCCCCTCTATTGAGAATATTGCACAAATGTTACATTATGTAAATGTTATTTACAGGTGATAGGGACACCATTTGATATATAAATCACTACCGTAGGAAGCAACTTTGTATTGCGGGGGGGGGGGGCTGATTAGTTAGGGTTGATTATTAGGTCATTATTTCCCTCTCAAACTTCACAGATTATCGTTAGTTTACAACGGCCCTGTTTCAAATACTTTGATAAAATTGTCAAGTACCAGCTTTAATATAGACACTGACATAGTACCTGCTGGAAAAAAATTAAATTTTATGCCTTGGTTTACTAGAAACTTACCAACTGGTCCATATAAATTAGCAATAATTCCATTGGGCAAGGCCACAGATTGGAACTTTAGGGCGTGGACTCGTTTATGACCATTATATACGACTCTTTGGTTTTTTCCAGGTCTACAAATTTGTCTGACCGTCCCATCTACGAAACCAAAGCAGTTGGTAAGGGCTGCTCCTTTGTTCGATACGGCTGTAGCATATGTCTCAAGAGCTTCTGGGTGTAAAATCTGATGATTCCACTCTGTCAGACGATGGCCATGGATATCAAAAATTAAACTGATCATTTTATTATTAATCATAGCTAATTCAGGAACTGGTCTACCAAAGGTAGGAATCAGGTCAGAATACCTGCAAGGATAGGCAAACCTCTTGAGCAGAATGCACAAGGCTTCTTCTCGTCCACAAATAGTCCCTTGGTAACATTTTACAATTTCTGGAATCCTTAGCGTATCCGCAAGTCCTGGTATATCATTCTTTTCCACTCTAAATTCAGTTTTGCATTCAACTTCGTCCTTTAACTCTAGGTCAAAGGCTGGATAGCTTGTGTACGGATACTCAGCATTCAGAGAAGTATATTGTTGGTACAACAGCAAAAACTCTTCTTCGTCCAATAAACCTTCGTCAAAACCAATAAGCAGCAAATCACGAACGGATTTGAAGGATGCCATTCACATATTTCACAGAAAAGTGGTGAAATTATAACAGTTTTCGGTTGCCGTTGTGCGTGGCGATATCGAACATCTTAACATGGCGGATGTTTACAACACGACGGCGTTCTCTCCCCAGGCAATTCCCGGTTTCAGCGTTGCCGTTGCCGCCGGCGATGCGCAATCTTGAAGTCTCTAATACCTAACCCTAATACCTAACCCTAATACCTAACCCTAACCCTAACCTATATTGGTGCGCGAAACATGGAATGATAACCCAAATTGCGCTCTGTGTTGAGGGGTTAGGGGTTAGGATAAAACGCGGATGCGGACGGACGGACCTGCCTCGTTGGAAAGAGCCTGGGAACGAGGTTGCCTCGTCCCCAGGCGCTATAAAATCACATCAATCTCGTTCCCCGAGCCTGCGATCCTCGGGAAGGAACGCGAGGCTCTGGGATAATCCGTTGCCGGAAGCCAGGAATCCTGGCTAAGATTGAACTAGCATTCCATTTCAACGGCCAATCAGATTCCTCCCTGAAACGGATTATCCCAGAGCCTCACGTTCCTTCCCGAGGATCGCAGGCTCGGGGAACGAGATTGAAATCACATATGGTTCACATTCTCGTACCCAGAGCCCTTCTTACGCGCGGTGTGACGAGGGGCTCTGGCCAAATCCACATTCCGAACTGGCATCTGATTGGCTAGTTCTAACACCGGATATTGTTTTCTTACCATGTTTTTATGGTATCCGGTTATGGATTTGGCCAGAGCTGCACGTCTCACCGCGCGTAAGAAGGGCTCTGGGTACGAGAATGATATGGTTCACATACGAGTCACTATGTAAAAGGTTTACATGAAGTAGTGCGTCGCATTATAGGCGCGCAAAGGGGAATGGGACACCCGTTCCGCACGTTATCAACAATATAGTATTGTAATTGTTAAGCTTAACAACACAATAAGTTATTGGGTTGTTACTGGAAAGAAAACCGCAAGCATTGCACAAAAGTTTTAGTTATAAGTGTAACTGTCTTGGGATGGTGGCGGAGGGGTGGCGTGTGGGTAAATCCCGGCAGCTTTATTCCTGGGTTAGGGTTAGGGGTTAGTGGTTAGGGGGGTGGGGGTTAGGGGTTAGGGTTAGGGTTAGGGTGGGGGTTAGGGTTAACAACCCAATACTTATTGGGTTGTTAAGCTTAACAATTACAATACTATATTGTTGATAACGCAAGAATCGCCTGAATGGGATTATGATAATAAGCTGTCGAACATAAAACAAGTAAACAGTAGATCTAAAATTCTAAATATATTAATATAAATGGCCTTCATGTATATCACCAGAAAGAAATAAAGCTATCCTTACCTAAATTATTCAAAATATTGTTGATCGTTTGCATCGTGTATACTGCATGTAAATAAGCTCGTAACTGAAATCCTGAGACAAATCTTGCGAACGCAATACAAAATAATGTTTCATCGCTCCTTTGTTTAAAAAAACTTCCTGTAGCTGCAGATTTTTAAAATAAATTCCTCATTATGATAAGTCTGATAAGGACACATTGTCATTTTTCCAACAGCCTCGTTGACCTCTTCAAGTGTTGACATCTCGGAATCATTTAAAGGGTCAAATGATATCAAATATCATCTGACTGTAGTGTAATCACATGTTTAATTGAACAATTTGAAATGTTATTTTCTCAAAAAAAAATGGCGAAAAGAGCCCCAAAACTGTTGAAAAACCACGATTAGCAAGAAACAAAATACCCAATGGGCAATGGGGTAAAACGCGGCGGATATGGTGTAAAATGTACTTTTCATGTCTTTAAGGTTACAATATATGATAAGACTCTGATTTTGTCCAAAAAAAAATTTTTATATAGTTATATTAAGTAAAGATATATCTATCAATTCCAGCAACTTTTTTAAGAAAATGTTAAAAAACGACCGAGATATAGGGGAACATGCTATGACCACTGAATAGCTTCGCGCGAAACTTGTAATTATGATTGACTCGAATTGTCAGTTCTGACCTCTTGCGGTTAAATACAATTAGTAAGGAACTGGTCTAAGCCAAAACGCAAACGCAGTAGAAAAGTCACCGAAGCCAACATCGCGCATAGCTTGAACTTCGAGAAACTCTGTAAATACTATATTATAAGCTTTCTAATGTTGTCGCAGTGATATATGCCTCCGAACAATAACATATACAGTCAAGGTGTGAAATTCACTAAAGTATATCATATACTTTAGTGAATTTCACACCTTGATATTTGACGCCAGCAAAGTTCGCACTTTGTGGTTTGGCCACAGCCTCGTCCCTGGCGCTTTGATGTGCTTACTTGTTGCGTTTGGCCACAAGTGGATTAACATTGGGGGCGGAGACACTCTCCTCCGCAGAGGCTTTTTTGTTTTCTTTCTATATATAAAGTTTGACTTGCGGGCAGTAGCGGGCTAAGCAGAGAAGTGGGCACGCGGGGGGTGACGGGAAGAATGAAATTCCGTCTTTCCCCACGAGCTTGGTAGTGTGATTCCCTATTATCTCCAAATGTCCACAATGCCCCCCTTTTAACCCCGCGCGCTCGCTCCGCCCGCGTGCCCACTTCTCTGCCTAGCCCGCTACTGCCCGCAAACTCTATAGTCAAACTTTATATATAGAAAGAAAACAAACTATAATATAGAAAGAAAACAAACTACAAAGATCTACAAAGCCTCTGCGGAGGAGAGTGGGGCGGAGAAATGACAGAAGAGTGGAAACCTCGCCAAATCTTATATGGTCATTTGAAGACAAAGCAAAATTACCCAATCTCCTCGACAAAAAAGAGTTTAACGACAGAACGTTTTATCCTGTGATCCGATTCGGCCCAAACTTGACCACAATGTTAATAATAAAGGAACTAAAGTGTGTTCGCGTTTTCGATTTAGTGCATTATTTTTCAATTTAGAAGCATCTCTTCAACCGCTTATACCCGCGCAAGATAAGTCAAGTTGTCTGCTTTATATCAGAGCGAATACAATAGCTATCAAAAAATGCGAGCACACTTTTCTTCTTTGGACATTTGAGATGAGAAATATGATATTTTGGGAGCTCCTGAGTTAAACGGTCTGTCGTTAAATCTCGTGGCGCAGGAGGTGCTATTTTCAATAGATGTCTCATTGCGACTACAGGTTAAAACGTGGTGAATTTTGGTTAAAACAGTAGCTTCTAGTCTTCTACAGTTAGTTATCATTGCATGTACCAAATTTGAGAAACGTAACTAAAAAATTGAGCACGCAGTGACAATTTTTCTGAAACAGGAATCTATCATATGATGTAACCTTAAAGGGAAATAGTAATAAAAATTAAGATTCTCCCATTTGGATGAATGGTTCAATATTAAAAAACTCCAAATCTAAAGTTAAACAAATGTACAAAGTTCTAAATGATTTGGCTCCAAGTTCGCTCGCTACTCTTTTCGTTCGCAAAAGAAACATATAACAAAATATGATCTTAGGGGCTCCTCTACTTCACTACAACTACCTTTGCCAAAAACTGTTATGATGGGGCTAAATTGTGGAACTCATTACCTGCTGATATGCGTGATTCAGATACATTATCAACATTCATAAATGCAATTGACGTTTATAATTTCTAATATAATGCTATTAATTTTGTACATAATTGTTTTGTAGTTAATTGTAGTTTAGTGTATATAATATTTTGTTATATAATATAATGTGATCAACACGCCCCTCGTGGAAATCAGCACATAGTTGACGGGGCCAGCGTGTGACCTTTGAAATAAAGTTTACCGTACCTACCTAGGGTCTTCTTCGTGATGGCGCGCGAAAAATGAAAAGACCTTGGTACGTATATAAAGGTGCCTGCAAACGAAACAGGCGTTTATTCAGGTGGGGCTAGTGGTAAAGGCTCTTCTAAACTCCGTTGTGATTGCAAAATCATTGTGCATTCCGTCATCTTAAATATGCGGGCGTATTTTCCTTTAGAAAGGAAAGTAGAGCAATTAGTTGAGGAACACACGCGTTTGGATTGCGGCCAAATCGCTATTTTTGACGAAAGCTCGTCCATAGAGATTAGTCTCCGGGGCGCATGAGTTAGTGCGTTCGACTGTTATATTAGAAATGATTTCACGCGCTAAATCTTTCAAGTGAAGTTCGATCATGTTCAATTGTTCAAACTATCTTCAAAATAATTAAGGTAGAAAATATCTCTCTTTGCACGTGGGCTTGCACTGGCGAGAATCGAACCAGTGCCCTCTCGCTCCCTAAGCGAGTCTTCCCGAGCCGATATGTGGCCAAGAAGACAGAAGTTTCGGTTCTTCCAATTTTTGAAATTTGCCAAGAAAAATCTCAGATAAACTCTTCAATCATCCTTGCACGCAAAAAACGTAACTCCTGATAGCAGCCGTCACTCTAAGTTTTCTGTTTAAAGAAAAGTAAGAATATGCGAGATTACTTCTATTTTCCGACCGTCTTTGTAAATTTAGACAGGAACGTATGCGGGTTATAGTCGAGGAAGACACGTCGGTAGTATCAACAGTACTCGCCACATCGATGCGCCGCACTGTGCGTTACGTCTTCCGACAAGAAACTGGAGTAATTAGTGAGGAACCGATTGCGTATAAGGAGAAAACTCTAGTGTGCGGTGCACTTTTGTAAGTTTTTCGTCACTCGTGACGCGTAATACAAAGTCCAACGTACTCAACGTGCTGAATATTTTTTTTGTGACGAATGAACATTTCCTCCACGTGTGCGCGCTCGAAAAGCTATCACTTTTCATTGTAGATCGAATAGGCATGCGTAATAAAACATAAGACAGAACGAAAATAATTATATATTTTCCTTTTGTCTTATGTTTTACTACGCATGCCTATTCGATCTACAATGAAAGGTGATAGCTTTTCGAGATTTTCAAAAGAAAAGTTTAAAAAAGTTTTAAAAAAGTTTTAAAAGTTAGATTAGGGTTAGGGGTTAGTGGTTAGGGGTTAGTGGTTAGGGTTGCATGGGGTTAGAGTTAGTGTTAGGGGTTAGATGCCGCGAATTTATCATTATGATAATTTCAAAATGTGCCGCGAATTTATCATAATGATAAATTCGGACGTGTTTAAGAATTTACTCATATAGTAAATTTAAAGGTGGAGCTCATGCTGAAATTGTGCCATAATTCAGGAACGCGACCATTTATCATTTTTGGCTGAGCCCTGTGACTAATACTTTCACTACCAGATGACCCAGTTTTGTTGAACTTCCCTCGTCTATGATAATACTGCATGTTTACCCCACTTTGCTTTGTTTGGTGTTTCCCAATACTGCCTTTTGTTTAATCTATTATGCTCCTCTACCTACTCATTTTTTTGATCATCAAAACACGGAGGAGTAATGGTCGCTTTCAAAACAGCATTTGAAGTGTGGGCTTGCGCTATAAGGTCACATTTAAATTTGAATTTGAACTGTCGACTTGCATAACATCACCACTGGGACCTGCCTCAACCTGATTTTGTAGTTGCTCATTAGGTTGGTTTACAAGAATTCTAATCGTAGGGCTCTCGACTCTCTATCTTGTCGATCTTTTAAAAGTAAGAAATACATCGTGCTATAGTCTAAGATCTAACGAAGGCACACTGCTTGAAGACTACAGTACAAAAACAAAGAAAACACTCGGTGACAGAGCATTTGTAACCTCCGCTCCAAAAATCTGGAATGAATTACCTATGTATATTAGAAATCTGCACAACTTTAGTATTTTCAAGAAATTAGTTAAGACTTATTATTTTGAAGAAGCCTTTAATGTAAATACTTCATGTAACATATTATCTATATAATCTTCTTTATATTTTTAGTTAGTAACCATTCAGCATAGAATAATTTTAGTGTAATTATGTTTTGTGATGGGCATTTGATCATCATACTATAACATGTTAATTTGCGCAATATAAATATTAAATATTATTATTATTATTATTATATATATCTATTTATTATATACACAAGGTCTGGATATGAGGTATTCTGCAATTTGATTGGTTCTCTACTAGCAGGATATTAGCTCATATCCTGCTAGTAGAGAAAAACAAAATGACGGCCAATCTGAATTTACTGACGCCATTTTGCAACCGAGAAAACGGCAAGTTGTCGCTTTTTATAGCCTTTACAGGATTAAAAACACAATGAAAAGACTCACACAAATAGTTTTCAGGTTAGCAAATACATTTTTAAAATCTAAAATGGTTAAAAATATATATTTTTGAAAAAATAATCGGCCGAAAGAGCGAAGATAAAAACATAAACAAAATAGAAAAATATTGAAAATATTTATATATATATAGGTAATATAAGTAATAAAAGAAAAGAAAGAAATGAAAATCTATTTACAAAGTACATATATAATATTATAATGGTGTAATTGTTTGTGACCTCTAAAAAGTGTTCTTTTATCGCATTTTTAAATATGATACTAAGAAGTGATATTTTCCAAATTAGAGTCAAGTTCATTCCATATATCAACACAAAACTGTGGCATTCGGCTGTTAACCGAAAGGTTGATGGTTCAAATCCACACAGGGGAGCTTTTCACTCAATTTTGGGCTCAAAAATATTTTAAAAGTTTGTCAAACGTTCAAGCAAATTTGAAGTCCTTCCCTCCAAGCACGCGGGCTTGCACGGGAATCGCACCCAAAGCGAGAATATACCATTAGACCAACAAGCCGACATGTGCCCAAAAAGTGAAAAGTTTCCGTTGTTTGATTGTGTCAAATTTCCCAAAGAAAAGTCTTAGATAAACTCTTCAATCATTCCTGCAAGAAACAAAACAACGTAGCTCCTCATAGCAGCAGTCACGGTAAGTTTTCTCTTTAAAGAAAAGTAAGAATATGTGAAATTACTTCTATATTTCCGACGGTCTTTGCCTTTAGATAAGAAAGTAGAGTAATTAGTGAGGAACACAAATCTGGATTAGCGCAACATCCATATTTTATGTGGAAGACTCGTCCAAGTAGATTCGTCTCTGTGGCGCAATGGGTTAGCGCGTTCGGCTGTTAACCGAAAGGTTGATGGTTCGAATCCATCCAGGGACGTTTTGTGTTCGATCAATTTTGGCAGAAAAATATTTTTTCCAATAAAACCGTTTCAGGCGGTAAAACTTTTCAGCAAATTTGAAGTTCATGGTCAACCTATCTTCAAAGTAGACAAGGTAGAAAATTAACAAACTTATGTTGGTAGGGAATTAAGTTCTCCTGATATTTTCATGTTGTTGCATCCCATCAAAAGCCCCGTTTACACTACACTCATTTTTGGCACGGCACTCTTAAATAATGGCACGCGGACCAAATTTTTAGGCACGGCACTCTTAATTTTCGCAGTGTAAACGCAAAATTAAGGGTCCGCGTGCCATAATTATTTGACGGGCCGAGACCTCTTCAAGGAGGTAGTCTCGGCCCGCTTAAAATATAGCACGCGGCCCTAAAACTAATTACGCATGCGTATTCCTTGAAAAAGAAAACAAGATGGCGTCAAAAACAAACCCTACTTACACTTAATTGTGCTCTATATATATCGGATATAGAGTGCTGATAATTAGATAAAAGTCAGCCATGAATTTATCCAATTCAAGGCACTCTATATCCCATATTCATGGACCACAAGTGACCAGAGGTTTGAGTGTATAATCATTCGGAATATGTTATATTGTATGGTCATCAAACTTAGCTTTGAAATAGACTGCATACACTGCTTCTGTCCCTAAAACTGTACTACTTATGTCTACCTGGTGAAATATTCAGCTAAAGCATCACGGATTAACTCTGCGTCTGGTGCTGGCGTTTCATCAATTGGAAGTATTGGTTCCTCAATAAGTACTTCAATCAGTGTTAGCCCAATCAGGAAGAAATTCATTTTCATGTAACACGCATGCAGAAGGCCTGTACAACATGTGCCAGAGTACTTACATCCATGTACACCCGCTTTTTGAATCTGATGTATCTTCCTTTTCACCTACCAAAGGTGTTTTCTACAGTCATTCGTGCACGACGATAGTTAAAAACACTTGACTTCTTGTTGCCTCGTTCCTATAGGCTAGGGTAGCCCTTTAACACCCATGATAACAGCCGATAGGCTGGGTCCGCAAGAATTACTGGTGGCATCTCCGCCCCACATATTTCCCTATTGAGGTCATCTGGCAAAAGACAGTTATCCCTTCCTTTTGCAAAAATGGCTGAGTTCGAGAAAACCCGCGCATCATGTACGCTTCCTGGCCAACCGATAACTGCGTCCCTGAATATATAATTACAATCTACCACAGCCTGCATAAGGACGCTATGAAACCCCTTACGGTTGAGATAATCTGTGTGATTTTTGTTAGGTGCCAGTATCGGTATGTGAGTTCCATCTACTGCGCCCGCACACATGGGAAAGCTCCATATGTCTCTTCATAACCTCTAATGACTCGCAAAAGGTCATCACCCTTAGGGAAGCTGATAGCATGGCATACTTCTTTAATGCACTGGCACACAAACGACCGTGAAACTCCGAATAAGTTGCCAATTGTGCGGTATTCAGCCGTGGATGCTAGATAATACAATGTAACTGCCAGCCGTCGCTTCGCTGAAACTGCTTCTCGAAGATGTGTATTTTAATGAGCTATTTCGGGCTCAACCTTTCTGAGAATAAATGTAAACGTTTCTTTCGTAACTCTGAAGTTAGCATACCATAGCTCGTCGTTGTAGGTGTCGTCCACCATCTCAAACCAGATCTGTGTTCGTGGGTGCATCCACAGTGTTCTAGTTCTTTGGCGATGAAAAAAAGCTAGTGCAATTTCAGTGAACTCTTTTTACCTTTACTTTTTATGTTGTTCGAAGCGCTATTCTACGTACACGGTTATCTTTTGCCAAGCGTAAACGTCTCCGTTTTGTCACATAAAAATACCAAACAAGTGCCGAGTTTGCTGTTTTTACATCATCCATTTTTTAAAATGTCCGCGAATTTTACTTTAAGAATTTAACCGCTGAAGTTTGATTTAAGGGCGCAGTAGGGCGCAGTATTTAAGCGGGCCGTATTCAAGAGTAGGGGTGCTAGTGCATCTTGATGGCCCGCCAAAATTTGTAGTGTAAACGATGCAGATTTTTCAAGAAAATGGTCCGCGTGCCATTATTTAAGAGTGCCGTGCCAAAAATGAGTGTAGTGTAAACGGGGCTCAAAGCTCAGCTGATCTGAGAATGAATGTTTTACTCAGGATTGTAATTTGTGTGCTCTTTAATATAGTTTGTTGTATGTATCTTAAAAAGGCCATTAGCTTGTTTGCCCCATCCATTTGAGTATTTGATTAACCCATTTAATAAGCACCAACACGTACTGTCCCCTTGATGAGTAAAATTGTTTGGCGTTAGACAGTCGAGTAAAATAACAAAGTAGGGCGCAATGCGACTCAATTGGTTAATTGACTCCATTGCTGCCTTATTTCTGGTGTCCCTGAGGTAAGGACTGTTAATGCGACAGCTAGCCGGAGTAAGCGAGACCTCACTGTGTGGTTATTTTTATAGTGGAAATGCCTTTCAGTTTGTATGGACAATTTGACTGGCTCAGTTTTCAGATCTCACTTGAACAAGGAAAGATCTCAGTTATACCGCGGAAAGATATTTTATGGCTATATAAATATTAAATGGACTGACTTGGTCAAAATAAAGTCAAAACAAATAAATTTGGTCATGAAAATATTGTGAAAACAATAGCATTGTGTTGGCAAGGAAATGATAAATTATTCGGCCAACCTGGCCAGCATGACTTCCACATTGATATAGCCCCTATGGCTATAATCTATTCTTGCTCTACTTGCAGAATGTTCCCACAATGGGTGAAAATCCATACCAAGCAACATGTTTCAAAATTAAAGTAAAAAATTTGCTTGATTTTCATTATTTTAATTAAACTTGCATGGTGGTCAAATTAGCAGTAACAAATTTAAAAACCTAACTGTACAATCACGTTGCATGTAATACGGTATTATTATAACTTTGTAGCTCCATGGGCTATTCTTTGGCTGTTACACGTTTTGATGCCTTGAGCCATTTCTTGTAGTAAATATAACACATTCCAACAAAATTATAGAGAAAAGTCAGTGCTATAGTTCTGCCAGTTAGGTCTGGCAAAAGCTAGTGTACCACTACTCTTGCTATTTGAACATTCAAAACAACTTGTATTAATTTCTTGTCCACATGACTTACATCGCCCTACATGAGAAATGTCCATTATACTTATAAATAGTGACAGTACTTACCAATACCATATGAAGACACTGAAGATGTATTGGGTCACTTACAGATCCCAGGCTCCGATTACAGGGAAATTTACTGTAGAGCAGAGCCGGAACTGTTCAGTTAGACATTACTGATTATAATAACCCATTGAGTACTAGCTCTCTCCCGTTTACAAGTAAAATTGTGTATAGTGTTAGACCAAGTAAAATAATAAAGTAGGGTGCACTAGGGCACAATGCATCTTAATTAATATGGTATGTCAAATAAATTGACTCAGGTAATTTTTAACATATAAATTCTGGCATTTCTATAAGCCTGTCTAATGTCAGGCAATTTTACTTGTCAAGGGGACAGTCTTGTCCAATTAATAAACGGATTACTTGTATTTCTTAACTATCCCAAAGTTTCATTTTACATTTCAATATATCAAATTAATCTATGCAGATCTAAGAGAGAAAGTTGATAAATAATGTCTATAACTGAACAGTTGGGCTGAACTCCAATACTGGGACACCAGCTCTGAAGCTGCTCTCAAACATGTTATGAATCATCGGTCAATTTAATCGGTTAATTGTCAGGGCACAATTTAGGTCAATGGCAAGGGCAGAGAATGCATTGGCTGGCGCACACCCTTCATTCCTACATATATCTAACTACAACTAATGGCTGTGGGATTTATAGAACTCTGATAAACTATGTTGGGCAGATGATCGTAAACATCCGAATATACATTTCGTTCCGCATTAGCATTTTTGATCGGCTGAACCTTTTGGAATCCCCTGCGCTGCATTAATAAGTACCTGTCCAAAAATATGTCCATGAGCTAACAAACAGAGCCGAAAATAAGGCCTATATTCGGGATCTCCTGAGTGGGATTATACACAGGAGAGCTTATATTTGGGGAGGGGGGGGGGGGGGG